TCTATAACAGTAAAAAAATTTTTTTGTTTTTAAATCCAAGCTATTGTGACACACGATCTAATTAGTGGCACTTGTCACCGTATCCACTGTTAGCGTAACACACCCGCTTTAAGGACACTGACTGCTATTCAATCTATAACAGTGAAAAAAGATTATTTTTTTTTTAAATCCAAACTATTGTGACACCAGATCTAATTGTGGCACTTGTCAGCGTATCCACTGTTAGCGTAACACACCCGCTTTAAGGACACTGACTGCTATTCAATCTATAACAGTAAAAAAAGTTTTTTGTTTTTAAATCCAAGCTATTGTGACACAGGATCTAATTAGTGGCACTTGTCAGCGTATCCACTGTTAGCGAACACACCCGCTTTAAGGACACTGACTGCTATTCCAATCAACAGTGAAAAAAAGATTATTTTTTTAAATCCAAACTATTGTGACACCAGATCTACTCAGTGCACTTGTCAGCGTGATCCACTGTTAGCCGCGAACACACCCTTTTAAGGACACTGACTGCTATTCAATCTATAACAGCAAAAAAGTTTTTGTTTTAAATCCAAAGCTATTGTGACACCATTAGATCTAATTAGTGGCAATTTGTCAGCGTGATCCACTGTTAGCCGTGAACACACCCGGCTATGACACTGACTGCTATTCAATCTATAACAGTAAAAAAGTTTTTTGTTTTTAAATCTAAAGCCATTGTGACACCAGATGTAATTGGTGTAGCACTGATCAGAAATGGGCACAGTATGCACTGTGAGCCTGACACAGTAGCTGGCAGCAGTGGCAGACAACTGACTGCTATTCAATCTATAACAGTGAAAAAAGTTTTTTGTTTTTAAATCCAAGCTATTGTGACACCAGATGTATTTGGTGGCACTGACTGTGGAAATGGGCACAGTATGCACTGTGAGCCTGACACAGAAGCTGACAGCAGTGGCAGACAACTGACTGCTATTCAATCTATAACAGTGAAAAAAGTTTTTTGTTTTTAAATCCAAGCTATTGTGACACCAGATGTAATTGGTGGCACTGACTGGGGAAATGGGCACAGTATGCACTGTGAGCCTGACACAGTAGCTGGCAGCAGTGGCAGACAACTGACTGCTATTCAATCTATAACAGTGAAAAAAGTTTTTTGTTTTTAAATCCAAGCTATTGTGACACCAGATGTAATTAATTTGACTGGGGAAATGGGCACTGTGAGCCTGACACAGAAGCTGGCAGCAGTGGCAGACAACTAAGTGCATTTACATTACATAGAAAAAAAAATCCAAAAAAGCATACCCTTATCCCTAACCTAGCTATGCTTTTCCCTATCTTATGAACAGCAGCTACACTTTCCCTCCTCTTACTAAGCATGCAGCTTGAGAATGAATCTAAAATGGATGCTGTCCAGTAGGTGGGAGGGTCTGCTAGGGAGGCTGTGCTGCTAATTGGCTGGAATGTGTCTGCTGACTGTGAGGTACAGGGTCAAAGTTTACTCAATGATGAGGAATAGGGGGCAGGTCTAACCGCGCATATGTTCGCCCGCCGTGGCGAACGCGAACATGCTATGTTCGCCAGGAACCGTTCGCTGGCGAACCGTTCGGTACATCACTATTCTTGACATGTCAGATATATTTCCAATTTATCATGTGTTGGGGTGACTTTAGGCTTGGTCTTTACAGCACTGCTTTTAACCAACGCCTTTTTTTAAAGCATAATTTTATTTTGTAACACTGTAAAACAGGCAGATACACAGTATGGCCAAAAGTACCTGGACACCCGCACAAATTGAGTTCAGGTGTATCAGACCCACTCATTGTTAACAGGTGCATAAAAACCAGACATAAAATCTCAATACACAAACATTTTTTAACATATGAGCTGCTGTACATAAGCCTCGCATCAACATGCGCAATGTCAAGTGCCGGTTTTACCTTCCAGGACCTTGCTGTGGAGGAGTAGCAGGAGTGCTAGCACGCATGTGCAGCACAGGATCCAGCTGATTCCCCTCACCGGAAGTGACGAGGGTAGGGGATTTGATAGAACACCGGCAAGAATGGTGTAAAGCACGCTGACTCTGGAGTTTTGGAAACTTGTTCTCTGAAGTGATGAATATTGCTTCACTATCTGGCAGTCTTATGGAAGTATCTAGGTGTGATGGATGCTAGGAGAACGCCACATACCAGACTGCCTAGGGTCAGCCAGTCTAGTGGCTCAGTATAAATTGTCAAAATATTTAGGTTTAGAAAGGTTTGAGAACTTATCTGGGGACCACTGGGAGCTTTTCTACTCTATGCAGGGACGGCTCGTTGGCTAATAGCACATGCTAAGCCCTGCACAGCTAACATGTTAAATGTTGCAGAGCTCTTAGGCTGCAGAGCACAAGGGGACTGACCCCTGCCAGAGCCCAAGTAATTTGTTAAGCTTTAATGGTTTGACTACTTACACCGGTGGGGTACCAGGGCTGTACTGGTTATGCATGGTGTGTTCCTTTAAGGTCAAGATGATTTCTATAGATGACTGTAGCCATACCATGGATTACTTGCTGCTAATGTTATGCCTAGTTTTACAGGATTAGAAATATGGTAATTTTAATATCAAACTGTGTAATTCGAAAGTGTTTAACTTGTGATACTGTGTTGTTTTTTCTTCAAACATACAACTCCTATATTGTAAATGCACTAGAGTGGGACCCTTCATCAATTTAGTACTGGTATCCTGCAGATAGATGGCAAGTGGAAAAGAGCAATAGTCACACTGGCTACAAGCATACTGGCAGGGCCGTTGCAAGTATTTTTGACTACACAGGCGCAGATGCATTTTGCTGCCCCCCCCCCCACCAAAAACAAAAAATGCATCTTTATCTCTTTCTCGTAACCCCATTTTGAATTTCATACCCCCCCCCCCCATTAGTGTTTCATAGTAACATAGAATGTGACAGCAGATAAGAACCATTCGGCCTATCTAGTCTGCCCAATCTTCTAAATTTTCATATCCACTCTCTTGAATGTCTTACCCCTTTGTGCCTTACATCCCCGTGTGTCTCCTACAACCCCTCTTATGTATTTCTTACTTCCCCGCCAGCCCCTTTGTGTCTCTTTCTTCCCCCCAGCACCTATCTATCTCTCTTTCTCCCATATAGACATAGATACAGGCAAAAATATATATATGCACAAATACACAAACATACAGACACGCAACCATACAAGCACACAAACAATCTACACATACAGGTACACTGTCATACAGACACAGACATAAAGAAACATAGAGATAGGCATATAGTTACATACATACGCAGACAGTCATACAGAGACATACATATGCAGACAGTCATACAGAGACATACATACGCAGACACTCATACAGAGACATACATACACAGACAGTCATACAGAGACATACAGACTGTATGTTTCTGTATGAAAGTCTGTGTATGTACACAGGGTGGCTAAAAGATAGATCCCAATCTGTCGTGCAACTTCAACAATGCTTTGAAAGCTGGGGCTCTACCGATTCCCAATGCTTGCAGTATTGTTTTTAGCACTGAGCAGTATTTGTGTGTTTGAATGTAAGCATGTGTTTGTATGGAGCATGTTTGTGTGAATGTAGGGGTGTGTGTTTGAATGCAAGCATGCATTTATGTGTAGTGTTGGATTTTGAATGCAGGGGTGTGTTTATGTATAATTTTGATGTCTAATACAGAGGTGTGATTGTATGTAGTGTTGACATTTGAATGCAGGGGTGTGTTTGTATGTAGTGTTGACGTTTGCATGCAGGGGTGTATTTGTGTTTAGTGTTGGTGTTTGAATGCTGAGATGTATGCATGTATGCACATATACACATACATGAAGATACACACACTGACACACATGCAGATATACACAAACATGAAGATACACACACTGACACACATGCAGATATACACAAACTGATACACATTCAGATAGACAGACACACACATATACAGATACACACAAACACTGACAGACACACAGATAAAACACACTGACATACAGACATACTGACAGACATACAGATACACACACATACAGACTCACAGACATACAGATACACACACACTGACAGATATACACACACACACACTGACAGACATATACAGACACACACACACACATGCTGGTGAAAATATACACTTTTCTAACCACCCTCCTGTTTCCTACCTTGTGGGTTCAGGAGGGTGGCTTACCTGGGATCCAGTGCTGCCTAAGGTAGTTGGGAGTTGGAGGAGCTGTCCCCAGCCCCCTCCTCTCTGCCTTCTCTTGCTCCAGTCTTCTTGGGAGGACATCACTTCCTCCCATCCGATAAGAGGGGGCCGGCGGTAGCTCCGCCTCTGCTTGGCGCCAGCCGCTCTGTTTGCTACAGAGGGAGCAGAGATATGACATGTTCATATTCCCTCCCCCTCCACACAGTCCGCGGCACTGCAGGCTGGTGCTCGGCCACGCTACAAGAAGTGACCGGCAGGAGAGGAGTGCTGTGCATTTCCCTCATGATGGCCACCCGGACATTTGCATTCCCGGCCCGATGCGCCCTAAGGCGGCCGCCTATGCTTCCTTATGGATGTGCCGGCCCTGCATACTGGGGTTGTTTACAACAGCACTACCCTGCTAATTAAAATAGCAGGCAGTGTCTTGCAATGTCTGTTATATAGTTAGTTGTCTAGATTGAAAAAATACTTAACTCCATCAAGTTCAACTGTGAACCTCATTCTTTTATGCTGTTGATCCAAAAGAAGGCACCATCCCCCCTCCAGTTGCAGTCATTTCAAATCATGCCACAAAATGGGGAAAATAAATCCTTCTTGACTCCATGATGGCAAGCTCCTTGGATC